TTCCCCCCCCCCCCTGTTATTTAAACCTCCAGTTCACTTTAAATGTAAACAAAGATATGTGAGAACCTTGTATTCTCTTCAGTAAGGAAGACATTTCTTTTGAATAAACAGTGGTCGGCTATTTTATCAATAAAATGAAGACGACATTATTATCAAGGCTTAAGTTCTAAACAAGTATTTTTCACATTACAAGTTTACAGGTAAACTAAAAGAAACTTGACAACTTCTCTTTGAGTAGATGTCTCTTATGTTTGAAAGATGTGTAGAAATTGAAATAGAAAGTCGTCTTTATTGTATTAATATATACGACTATGACGTACCTTGAGGTTAGATAAACATCCCCTTCAAATTCCTTACAGAGTCCCCGCACTACTCCCAGACCAACACCTAGATAAACATGAACTGCATGCACTCTAAACATGGTAAACAAAATGGTTTCATTATTTAAAAAAAGAGAAAATAATCTTTCAAATGTTTTTATCATAAGCTCTTCATTGGGGAATCAGGCGCATATTCAGAATTTTAGTCAGTAAGGGGGAGGGGGGGCAAGATTAAGTAAAAATATAAACCTTTCTCCCCCCCCTTATTTTATTTTTAGGGTAAAACATCACTATTGAGGCAAACTCTTGGGAAGAAGGGAAGAACCCCCCCCCCCCTCCTCCCTGTGATGATCAGGGGGGACAAGAGGAAAATTGAGCCCCCCACGCATACACACAAGAAAAAAATAAAGAAAAAAATTCAACCCCCAAAACAAAAAATTTTACTTATTCATCAAGATTCGTTCATTTTGTTTTTCTTTCAACTTTAGCCTACTCTGCATGCGATGTGCAAATGTGCACAAATATATAAATCTTTAAATTGACATAATTTTGAATTTTCAATGACACTTTTTTTTTACATAGAGAGAATTCCATATCATATTAGGCTCAAAGCTTAAGCTATAAAACCAAAATACTCACATAAAACTCGACAAACCTGGCGTTTACTGCAAGAAAATTTATAGATTTCCTTTAAACATTTTTCATTCTTTTATAATTTTCTGATTAGTCCTTTAAATGTCAAGTTTTAGAGCTATAAACGATCTAATATGATGTGGGACACCCTGTACTTCATATTTTTTGATTCGACTCATTTTTCTTAAAAGTATAATATTATTGTTTTATAAATTACCTTTGTTACTTCCAGACACTACTGCTACTTTCATTTTATCTTAAAATATACAAGTTTATTACTATAAAGACATTATGTAACGATTTAGGGTCTTTAAAATGTTTGACAAAAATTATGATGACAGAATCGATTAAAAGAGTTAATTACAAAAGGATATAACAGAAATTATTCTTTTTGAAGTATTGTGAGAAAAAAATATATATAAATGGTTATTTCCCTGTTTATAAATTGTTAAATTTACTAAACTGCTAAACTGACGAGCGTTAGCCGTAAATACCGCCAAACACGTTAGGGTGGCGGTGATTATCAATTGAGGACTTCTCCACTCCCAGTCTCCCCCTCTCGTTTAGCTGTCATTGGAGTTACTGTTCAGTGTCAGTGTTGTGTAAGAAATATATAGTTCCAATCCTTAGTGTTCTGTGTTGTATTTAGTGAACATTTTCAGCTGACGCTGGACGAAAGCAACAACCCGGGATATTTCAAAACAAAAACAAAATTTTCTTTGGTTTTACGTAATTTAGACCGAAACTTGGAAGAAAAAAAAATAGATTAATTGTGAAGAAATATAACCCTGTGTTTTACTATTCAAAGGTTCAAGGTGTACGTATCTTCAAGTCCGCCCCCCCCCCGGATCATCATACTGCGGTATTGACTGAATTCAGGCAAAATCCTTCCCCCCGCTCCCTCTCCCCAACGCGTTTTGAAATGCATTACATGGTGATCGATGGGCTCTGGCCGGTGGCTGGCCCCTTCTAGCCCCCCCCCCTCTCCCTCTTGAAATAGACAAACTTTATCAGAATAAGAAACGACATCTTTTTTATTTAGAATAAAAACCTCAGTGATGTGATGGACCAAACCTCTGTTAGGGTGAAACAAGTAGATTTTAGTTCCACATTTTATTCAATATATATTTCGGTCTGGGTTCACCCTCGTCATTTCTCTATAACCATCAAAATCGACAATAAAAAATGTTGAAATACATAAGAAAATATACAAAACACAAAAGAATTTAAAAAAAATGGGCCGCATCCATGATTATAATAAAAAAAATTATTTTTAATGATACAATGCATATACATATATATCTTAAATCTATATACACATATATATAAGTATTTACTTAATACTTTTGTTTTCTTAAACCCTCGGCAAAAAACCAAATTAAAAATAAACTTTGATTCAAGTTGGGTTTCATACAATTAATGATTGCACTCATTGCACAATACGATATTTCAAACATTTAATTTTAGTTCTGATTTCTTATCATTTAGTGCATCAATGCAAAATTGCAGTTTTCTAAAAAAATGTTCTTTTATATTTATCAAACTGTTCCAATTTAAGTAATGCACGCATTTGATAAGAAAATGCAGTTTTATTTGATTAACCTTCAAACCCTAATTTCCCAAAGGTAATAAAATAAAAAATTTAAAATGTCAAATTAAAATTTGCAGGATTTAAAGATAAAAATAAAACTTAAATTATAGACATCAAAAAAGGTTCTGTAAGGAATGGTGGATCGAGGTGGTGGTGGTGTTAAAAAACCGTTTTATTTTAACCCAAATATTATTTTACTGGTTGCGGGGGTAGGGGGAGCCCGTGCCTGTTCCACCCACCCCCAAACAGTTACGGCCCTGGCCCCAGACATGAGTTAATTTAACTTTTTGTGTTAATTAAGTCTAAACGAGCCTCTAACTGTATTGTTCTGTTTACAATACAGTGAGTTTAACAAAAAGGTAGTTATAATTATGTTTTGATAAACATATAATCACACATAAAACTGGAATAAGAAGACGACATATATAAGCGGTCTTATACAGGGTTATTCCCACAAAGAATGAGCTTTGATGACAATATTCACCTCATCGGATATGCGGTTTGAAAAATAAGTTTCAAACAATTGATTGGGGGGGGGGGGGTCTTCTTAAAGAAATTCCGGCGAACCATAAATGTAATATAAATTTAATTTGTATCTGAAGTCTCATCTTTTGTGTGTGTACCTTCTAAAGCATTTAATCATTTGATGTTGATATAAAGCAAAAATAGAATAACTTCTTTATTTCTTTAATCTCTATTCTAAAGTTTCTAAGTTATAACCTTTGTTACTTAAAATATGTTGAACTCTGTGTTTGAAAGATTTTAATCATTAATTTCCAACATTTCTTCTTCCTTCCTGAAAACTTAGAGGATTCAAACCAGACCTTACCAAACCAAACTAATCTAGACCATACCAAACCAAACCAATCTAATCCAGACCTCACCAAACCAAACCTTTCTAATCCAGACCTCACCAAACCAAACCTTTCTAATCCAGACCTAACCAACCCAAACTAATCCAGCCCTAACCAAACTAATCTAGCCCTAACCAAACTAATCTAGACCTCACCAAATCTAACCTTTCTAATCCAGACCTTACCAAACCAAACCTTTCTAATACAGACCTCACCAAACCAAACCTTTCTAATCCAGACCTAACCAACTAATCCAAACCTAACTAAACCAAACTAATCCACACCTAATAAAACCAAACCTTTCTAATTCAGACCTCTCCAAACCAAACCTTTCTAATCCAGACCTCACCAAACCAAACTAATTCAGACCTAACCAAACCAAACTAATCCAGACCTTACCAAAGCAAACTAATCTAGACCATCACAAACCAAACCAATCTAATCCGGACCTCACCAAACCAAACCTTTCAAATCCAGACCTAACCAACCCAAACTAATCCAGCCCTAACCAAACTAATCTAGACCTCACCAAACCTAACCTTTCTAATCCAGACCTCACCAAACCTAACCTTTCTAATCCAGACCTAACCAACCCAAACTAATCCAGCCCTAACCAAACTAATCTAGACCTCACAAAACCTAACCTTTCTATACCAGACCATACCAAACCAAACCTTTCTAATCCAGACCTAACCAACCCAAACTAATCCAGCACTAACCAAACTAATCTAGACCTCACCAAACCAAACCTTTCTAATCCAGACTTCACCAACTAATCCAAACCTAACAAAACCAAACTTTCTAATCCAGACCTCACCAAACCAAACTAATTCAGACCTAACCAAACCAAACTAATCCAGACCTAACCAAACCAATCTAATCCAGACCTAACCAAACCAAACTAATCCTATGTATTTCCTGGCAGAACACGACTTTATTTCGTCTGTCCATAGTCCATAATAGTCTTTCTGATCGAAGTCCCTTTGTCATTGTTTGCCAGCAAGGGATTATCCATGTTTTTCTCTTATAGTCTTCAAAAGTCCTGATAGTCCAATATAATCCTTATTATTTTTCTGATTGTTATTCCTCTTAGATTGTCAGGTTTTGCGTAACCTTAAATGGTATAAATGTATTGTAATAGTCATGAGAAGTAACATACAGTTTTTTTCAGAGGACAAATTAAGACTGAATTTCTTTCAGTCAAAAACGAAAAAAATAGTTAGAAATTCTATTAGAAATGGTGCACGAAGCGCCAAAGAAAATTTTTTGTATTTTTTCTTAATTGACAATATTTGATATAGATGATTCACAATCATGATCATGTTAGAGCCAAATGAGGGGGGGGGCGAGAGGGGGGCGAAATATACTGACGGGGGTCGAAACTCGGTTCACCCCTCCCTAGTTGCGCCACTGTAGATTACACAGGAGGACAGTATTATTTAAAGCGGAATAAAACTCTGCGTCAATCATCTTGCTCTGAGAGACTGAAATGGATTTTAAATGAAACCAAACCCCGCGAAAAAAAATATTGTAAATAAGATTAAGGTAAAAGAAATAATTTGAGAAATATCATAAAAAGGACAAACTGTGACATTGTCGATTGATAAGAAAAGTAAAAGATCTTAATATATGTAAGTTTAATAAATTAGAGCCTGCCTCTGGCTCTAGGGGGAGCCTAGGGGGGTGCATGTCTAGGGGGGCACAGGGGTACCGGGCCCCCCACTACGCCCCTGCTCCATCATGAATTTCATAATGAACGTGCTTTATAGTAATCCTTGTGCTATAAAGTTAAATTAGCTTTCTAGATTATATTTTGTCCCTCGCTAAAGCTTGGGACAAAATTAAATCTATAAAAGCTTGAACCTTCTCGATAAAGAGAAAATTTCTGTCCAAAACTTTTTAACACACCTAACCAAAATAACAGTGTTATAAATATTTATTTTATATAAGAAACTGTAATTTTAGTGGAAAAATATAACTTTTTAGCAATAGAGAAAAGGTTTTTTTATTTCAGGGGGGAGGCTGCAGGCGGCCATAAGCCACAACAATTTCCCCTTCCATGCCACATATTATCTTTTTTGTCTTCCGGCAGTCATGAGCCACAAGTCACAACCGTAGGTCTTCCATGCCACAGCATTTGAGTCTTCCGGAAGTTATTATGTTTTTAAATGATAAATTTAGGGCATTGAAGTTGCAATTTATAAAAAATCCTGCTAAATTACATGAAAGATCATACCTTAGAGGTTTATTTAAGATCAATGAATTGTTTGTTCAGTTTATAAACTACAATTAGTGCTATACATTATACAAGATGAGAAAAATCACAATATTAACTGTCATTACCTACACAGCATTACAGATTTCCTGCAAAAAATTCTATTTTACAATTTTCTCGTTTAATAGTGCAAATTTTTGGATATGGACGCCCTTTGAACTTTAAGAGTATGTAATGTATTAATTGTTGCAGTTCATAATGTTTTCAAAAATAAGCCATTTCAGAGGATTACATTTAAAGGAATTGTCATTATTACAATTTGAAACTTATAAATCTAAAGTTTTTTATATATATCTTTTGCATGACGTCGCTTGATTTTTGGAAAATCACAATTTCAATGCATTAAATTTGTTATTTAAAAACCTAATAACTACACGGAAGACTCAAATGCTGTGGCATGGACGACCGTACGGTTGTGGCTCATGGTTGCCGAAAAGACTTTAAAAAGCTAATATGTGGCATGGAAGGAAAAATGCTGTGGCTTACGGCCGCCTGCCTTAATTCCCCCACTCCCCTGGCTAAAGTAAAAATGACCGAAAAATGTAGATAAAAATTACCATGTTTCTGCAGAGAAATTTTATTTTCCCTGCACAGGAAAATTT